CTTTTGCAACAGGTGGAGACTATTACAGAGTTCTACAACTGGCCACACACAGAGAATAAGTGCCTGTGTGATGCCCAGCCCTAAGTGACACATCTACAATGTAACCTCTATCTGTAAGACTCACAGAACATAGCAGAACACAAGGTAGAATAGTAATTCATCTCTCAACTCTCATCAGCCAAACTTCCTTATGCAATGGAGAGCAATAAACACAGAAAGCCACAACTGGCCAAAATATAGAAAATAAGAGACTGGAGAGTGTGTCCCTGAATAGGGGAACCCTATATTTAACTTTTGCCACCCAGGGCTCAGGGACCATTGCAGAAGAGAGGGCAGAAAGATTTTTTTTTTTTTGGTCTTTTTGAGACAGGGTCTCCCTGTAGCTCCAGCTGGCCTGGAACTCATAGAGTTCCTCTGCCTCCTGAGTGCTGGGATTAAAGGCTTGCATCACCATGGCCAGCTGGGGGTGATAAAATTGTAAGAGCCCGGGGGTGGGGGGTGGATGACCACAAGGAAATAGAGTTTGCCAGATGGCTGTGAACTTTCTCATATGAACTTACAGCAATGGTGAGGGCATGCACAAGACCCATGCAAACTCAGATCAGACAAAAATCCATCATAGAACTGGGGAAATGGGCAAGCTCCAACCTTAGTCAAGGGACTCCGGGCAGCTGATCACTGCTGGGTGAGGGAGAGTAGGTCTTTAGGGGAGTGATGCTAGATAGACTGATCAGGATTTAGTGGATGAACTCATACTGAGGGACATCTGGGAACACAAATGTAATGTGATAGAACTTAATACATATGACACAATGCATAAATTCTGGTGGGGATCTATGAGTAGGTGCAGATAGGGGAAAGGGGTCTAAACGTAATTAATATATGTTATATGAAATGCACAAAAATTCAGTAAAATATAGATTGAAATTTTTTTTCAAATTTCATACACTATATTTTGACACCCCCTTCCCTATCTGAACTCCCCTTACCACCCCAGGTGAATTTCATGTACTCTATTAAATATTTTTAGATTTTATTTTAAAAATTATGTATATGAGTGTATTGCCTGCATTTATGTAAGTGTACTCAATGCCTTTGGAGATCAGAAGAGAGCATCAGATCCTGTGAAACTGGAATTATGGATGGTTGCTAACCATTAAGTGGGTGCTGGGACTCAAACCTGGGTGCTCTGCAAGAGCAGCCAGTACTCAGAACCTCTGAGCCATCTCTCCAGCCCCTTATTTTATTTTCTAAAGGCCTATGGAGACAAAAATCCCAGCACAGAAGTGGGGAAGTAGATAAGAAAACAGAAGCCTATCTGAGGTACCACTGGCAAGCAATAGCTGCTGGGAGTGGGAGAGTCAGTCTTCTTTAAGGGTGTGTGACACTGGGTTGGTTAACCAGGCTCCACTGGAAGGACTCACACCAAAGGGTATTTAGGGACACAAATTTAACTCAATAGGCCTTAAACTGTTTGTTTTGCAAGCAAGAGCACCTGAGTTCAATCTCTAGAACCCATGCAAAAATGCCAGGTGTAGCAGGGGTATCAGAGTATAAGGGCTCTAGTTGGGGGAGGGAGTCTATGGAAGGGTGCCATCTGGGAAGTGGGTGTATACTTGAATCAGACGGTTTGGGATGTTCTGCGTGATACACACACACACACACACACACACACACACACACAAATCAACAAATTTTTTTAAATATATTATATTTGAGGAGGAAGCATGGAAATTTATGTCATGCTAATTACTAGAGGTGATAAACATTACCATTGAAATGTAACCGATGACTTTATAGACATACACAGGCACGGAGGATCCAAGTACAACCGATTATGACTAGTAATAATCAGATACATACAGATTAGAGATGCATGCACCAACATCTCAGTGTTGGTAGCAAAAACAATGAGTCTTTCTGCAAGGAACAATATATTCTAAAATGAAATGGAGATGTTTTTAAAGGTTAAAAACTCAATTTTATGTCTTACAGGGCTTATACTGAGTTCAATATTGTATAACTGCATTAATTCAACTGAGAACCTAGAAACTTGCGCCCACTTATGAAAGAGATGTACTCTTGCTCTGGAGTATGTTACTGAATATGTTAAAGCTGTAGTGAAATGTTTCTTCTAATCATGTAATTATTAAAAATTAAAAAAAATGATTAAAAAATAATTCTTCAAAGTATAAAAATTTGCTTCTTAATAATTAGTAGATATGAAAAACATTACCATTGAAATCTACCTGACGACTTTATATCCATGCTCAGATGCCAAGGAGCTCAGAAAGTAACTGTGACTAGTAATAATCAGATATATAGAGATTAGAAACACATGTACAAACATCTTAATGTCAATTGCATTAAAAATGAATTTTTCTGTATGAAAAAAAAAATGCCAGGTGTGATAGTGCCCACTTGTAATCCTACTGCTGCACAGGCAGAACCAGGAAGATCCCTGGGACTCACTGGCAAGCCAGTGTAGTCTAAATGGGAAGCTTCAGGCCAATGAGAGACAACCTCAAAGGAGGTGGGGCAGGTGTTCCTGATGAAGATACCCAAAGCTGTCTCTAGCCTCTACATACACACTCATAAACATGCACACACACACAGATGCTTACATGAATACACATGTGCAACCACATGGACACAGACATATATCTTCATTATAAAATGAATAACAAAATAGAGGAAAACATAGAGACATTGTGTTTCAATTTGAAATAAAATTTCAGGTACATATCCTGCTTTCAGTTTTTTAGTTCATTGTTATGTAACAGTACTGATAATGATGGTTAGCAACTATCCATAATTCTAGTTTCAGATGCCTTCTTCTGACCTCCACAGGCATTGTACAACATGAGTACACTATTGTATACACACAATTTTTCATATAGTTTTAGATGGAGCTCAGGTTAAGAAACCATGTACATATTCAAACATTATGTATTCTAATCTGACAGTATTATAAATGATATTCTTAGAGTCAAAGAAAAGTAAGGGTTTTAACTCTAGGAATTTAGGCAATAGCATTATTTCCCTTAGAAAAACTTTTTAGAAATTAATATTAAAGTTCAATGTCTTCAGTTTTTTTGTCAAAGCAAAATTAAATTTAATATGTTTAATTTTAAAAAGATAAATACCATGATCTTTTTCTTTTTCAAGATTTTATATGTATAAGTGTTTTGATTGCATGTATGTGTGTGTACCATGTGCATGCATAATGCCTACAGAGGCCAGAGAAGAGTGTTGAGTTCCCTAGAACAGGAGTTACATAAGGTTCTTAGCCACCATATTGATGCTGGGAACCAAAGCTAGGTCCTCTTTCAAGAGCAGCCAGTGCTCCTACACACTCAGCATTACTCCAGCCCCCATGATCTTTTTCTAATCTGCATTTTCACCCATCTATTTTTCCAATTCTATGTACACATGTAAACATGACTAGAAGAATATTCTATCAAAATTGGAAATTCTGACACTGCTATTTTTATAGATGGAAGCATATTAAAATGATTATTTCTTCACACACACATATGCATACACACAAAGAAATTACTGTAAACAAAAGAAAAATACAATCAGTAATAACAATATCAAGTGGGAACAATAATGCACAGAAAAGCTGAAGCTGGTGTGACACTAGCAAGTCAGTCACTGGAGAACTGGGCCTCCATTTGCTTATTAGCAATTAACTACAATATGAATGTTGAATGAACATTCAGAAGTTCAAGCTCAAGTTTTCTTTCAGCATTAACATTAATTTAAGTGGCTAATTCTTATGCAAATTTGAAGGAAGCCGTCTTTTAAAACAAATTCATCATTTTATCCAGCAATTTTCTCAAGTAGAACTAGATTTAATGAATAACATTGTTTTCCTTTGTTATAAGCATTTATAGCTTGATCTCATCACAAACTGCAGAGTTCACAATATCCTTGACATTCTCAAAATATTGAATAAAGGAGTTTTATCTACATCAACAATTAAAAAGATGTAGCAATGAGAATATATGTACAGCACGTCCTTCTGGGTAACAACAGTCAAGTGTAAATGGGAATATTACATGCTGATAATTAAGGGCAAGAGAAGAAAAACTCACATGCTACAAATCTCTGCTTCTGAATCTGAAAGCAGGATAAAAAGTACCAGGGCTGTGGATATAGTTTTGTACTCACTACCAAGATTTCTATCATGGCAAAAAGAAAAAGACCTATACAAATTATTATGAGAATCTTTAGATTTACAGGTACACTGACCAAAAAAAAAAAAAAAAAACCTGGGAAAAAGTAATTACAATGAGCATTTGTACAAGGTGTGTCTTGGTTCCAGGTGGTTTCAAAATTAACATATGTGTATAGCTTTTACTTTTATTGAATTTTTGTGCATTTCACATAATACATATCCACCCAGGGCCCAGTGACTATTACTGATGGGACAGAAAGATTTTAAGAGCCAGGGGTGGTGGATGACCACAAGGAAAGTTTTTCAGGTGGCTGAGAACTTGCTCATATGAACTTAGAGCAATGGTGACCAGCAGGCACAAGGCTCAAGCAAACCCAAACCAGGCAAAGACCCAGCATAGAAGATGTGTGTCCTTTTTAACCTCAGAAGTCTCTGTAATCTAGCAATTGATTGTTTCTTGCATTATGTTGATATTCTCAACTAAAGAGCTTCTAGTAGATCTAATTTCTGTTAATTAAAAAATTGAATTTTACATAGTTCAACAATGGAGCAGTATTTCTCCCCATAAATTCTACTTGTGTCTATGAACATGATCCTTGACTCTGCATACATACTGCTGAACTATATTTAAACAAATTTGTCCTATTTATTTGTGACGATCATGGAATTAAGAATGGCATTTTGCATGCTAAGATGCTAATGTAATTTTGCTAAAATAACAGTTGATTCCAGCTACATGTCTCTATAAGTTAAATGTTTAACAACACTGAATGTTAAACAAACACTGAAATACTGTTCTTACTTAAGAAGGACTTACCTTTGCAATCATTACTGACTGAGCTGGGTAGCAAACAGTTGCTCCTAATGTTGTCAGTCCTAGTGGATAAGCAATCTTCTTAAACCTAGAACCTATGAAATTCAAACAAATTATTTACTCCACATAGATGCCATAAGATATTTGATATTCTTAGACTGGAATGTTTTCTTTGCTTTAAGCTATCACCCTATGTTAAATTGCTCTTTAAGTAGTAATACCAATCGAGATGGTACCTAAAATGCCCTTAAGGCTCTCAATTCAATTAATGCCTCTTAGATGTCATGTCCAATTTAAGAAAAATGTTCCCAACCTAATGCTGATAATTACCTACATAAAGGAATTGGTGATTATTTTCTTTTTTTAAGATAGGTATTTTTCATGTCCTAAGAAACTTAAAATTGTAATTACATTTTTTCAAATATCTAACAAAGCATGGTAGAGAATTAATCAACCACAGTATTTGTCACAGAAGGTTAAAGTGAAATGGACTCTCTTTCATATGCCCTTTTTGATTAAACACTGAGAAAGGTGAAGGACCCAACTAACCACTCAACCAAGGCCTTCAAAAGGTACGTAACTACTTCATGTCACTGATTCAGAAGACTGAAGTAATACTAATTGCAATTAGCTTGACATAATTAATGCATTCTCAAAAGTGCCTTTACTATGCATCTAAGAGTCATCTTCATATCGTTTTTTTTGACAGTAAAATCCTATTTAAAAACTCTAAAGAGAATATTACTAGGAATTCACTAAGTTCTCCTAGGAACTTGTCAACTTGAAGTTTCCCTGATTAACCTGGGTATACGATGTTCAGTATCAAGCCGTCTGCATAGCTTTCCTCGTATTCCCACAGTGCCCCTAAAACACTTCCATGAATCACAGGAATGCTGTACAGTAGTTGGAAATGCACAACTCTCAGCTAAAGTTCAATCCCACCACACTATTGGTTCAAAATGATAGGTATCATAAATGCCTATCTGGATATCTTGAACTCTGAGTGTGACTGGCAATTTTTTTTCTTAAATAGGAGTAAGGGTTGTTATTCCTTCAAAGAGGTTTTCAACCCATAATTTAAAAAGGAAATCGTAAAAGATAAAGGTGAAAAATGCCTGGTAATGTTTGCTGGTAACTTTGCAGTTTATGGAAGGTTCAAAGTCAATGTGGATGTGGGAAATTTCACCAGCTCTCACCTCAACATGAAGAGCTACAGGCAATCAATGGATACTGAGGGAGGGATTATCAATTTTCTCCAGGGACCAGCTCCCTGAGAGGGTTATCTAATCCCAAGTGGGCAGCCCTAAGCACATGCACACAAGAGCATCACCAAATGGACTCAGTGTGTTTTATAACACAAATTTACAATGTACATATTTGTAAATGTATGTATTTATAAATGTCTGTATAAGGAATAATAAAGAAGAGGACAAGAAATTGTAAGGGGGGTGCATTGGAGTAGTTAACATGGGACTGGGAAGGGTGGAAATTATGCAAACACAATGCTAATATATGAAATTCTCCAAAAGTAAAAGAATTATTTAAAAACTTTGTACTTTTTCAAGCCAGGCATGGTGCCACACAGCTTTAATCCCAGCACTCAGGAGGCAGAGTCAGGTAGATCTCTGTGAGATTGAGGCCAGCCTGATCTACATAGTGAGTTCCAGGTCAGATGGGGTTGCAGGGAGGCCCTGTCTCAAAAAGACGAAAATAAAGAAAATTTGTACTTTTTTGTTTAGTTTAAATATAATTCAAAAAGCCTTTTACAGTCATTTCTCTAACAGACTGAATTTGGAGGGGGTAGGTAGGCAGGCTGTTTTCCTCTAGCATGAGGCTGTTCTTAATTTTGTAAATAGCAATTTTTCTTTGACAAATCGTTTAAAAATTTTTTTATTTATTTTATGTGTATGCATGTATTGCCTGCATGTAGGTAAGTGCACCCATGTCGTGCAATGCCCACGGAGGTCAGAAGAGGCTGTGGGATCCCCTGGGACTGGAGTTATAGACAGTTGTTAGCTGCCATGTGGGTGCTGGGATACAAACCCAGGTGTTCTGCAAGAACAACCAGTGTTCATAACTGCTGAGCCATCTCTCCAGCCTCGACAAATCATTTTAAAGATTGAAAAAAATATTCATTCTGTTTTTACTTGATCAAAGAAGCCACTGTGCAAAAAGATATTTGATGTAGGTTCAACAACTCTTCTATAAGTACAGAGGAGAACTAGATACAGATACTAATTAGCCATGTACTATGCACTAAAAAAATACAAATGACTGTCTCTTTTAGATTTCTATCTGTAACACACTAGGGTTAGATGAAACAAGAAACTTTCTACATTTTGTTGTATCGTGGCCTGTATAAAGAACATAATACATTTCACTGAAACAAAACTTTCATGTTACACCCTCAAATACTAAGTACGAAGCACTCTGATATTTGCTATTCTTTTAATCTTTAATAAAGTATGTCAGTAGATTTTTTAATGTACTTATTTCATCATATACAGATAGTTTGAGATCTGCAGCCTGAAAAACATTGGGAATTACATTTTTCTAGTTCTGACATTCAGAAACACAATAAATGAGCTAAAGGACATTTTCTCTTATCAGAAGATTACTATTTTCTAAGTAAGTTATTAAGCAATACATTTGGACAATTTCCTTCAAAATTCAAGGAAGATGAAAGAGAAAGAGGTTGGATTAAGAGTACCAAAACACATTTATATAGAAACGTTCAAGTGTTCTATATAGCACAGTGAGGTAACCATAGTTCTCAGTAAGTTATTATGTTTTTTGTGTTATTTATTATTTTTATTTACTGTGCATGAGTGTATTGCCTGCGTGTATGTAAGTGCACTCATGTCATGCAGTGCCCACAGAGGTCAGAAGAGGGCGTCAGATACCCTGGAACTGGAGTTACAGATGGTGGCTAGCTGCCACGTGGGTGCTGAGAACTGAACCCAGGTCCTCTGCAAGAACAGTCAGTGCTCTTAACCACTGATTCATCTTTTCAGTCTGCCCTATTATATATTTTGTGAACATAAAGGAGCTTAAAAGCCTCAATATAAAGAAATGACAAGGAGATGGAAGAGAGTCAAGATTTTGCTATGTGCTTATAAAAAAAGATTGTTAAATAGCATGCTCAAGATTGTTAACACACAATGCTCAAGACTGCTGCCATCTGAAATTCCTGCTAGCATCTAAAAAGCTTTTTTCAAGAAAGTCTGGAATTTTGTTAGTAGACAATGTTTACGTGACTATGGCCACTCTTTTGTATATAGTTGTCACTCAATACTTGTTGCTCTTACATTGTCTCAGCTTGTTACTAGTGAAATTAATTACATGTTGCATGTGACCCCTAAGAAAATACTTCTAAAAGCATATAACTGATTTCTTCTAAACTTTTCCTTATGTGCCTCCTCCAACCCCTTTTTAAACTCTATCTTGTGTCCTCTCATTGCTATAAAAATGACTGTGACTATATACTGAGTCCTATGAGTCTTTGTAAGTAATCATCAAGTCTGCTTGGGGTCTTATGGATTTGACCATCCACATGAAAGGAAGTTGAAAGGAAGACCAAAGTAGGTAAAGACTCAGGGTACACAAAAAGGTGTAAAGAAGGGAACTATATATCTAGTCTCATATCAAATGAGAATGGTAGGGTAAGTTATCTAATTTCACAAATTCCATTCCAAGCACGCCATTCCCAACTACTTTGGTCAGGATGAGACTAAAAGTATAGCATATTTTATGAGATATTAGCATGCTTACCTTAAATTCTGAACATAATTTCTAGTGTATGAGTGCTATATTAAGAAAAGTGGTTCTGTATGATTAGTGTACTCCTTTATATTAACATAAAACTACCAAGAACAGTTTTTGTTGTATGAGACTCTTCAGATATTTTAAAATATTATAACATCTATAAGACAAAAAGGTAAATTTTAATTTTATTAGGAAGTTATAGATTTTTAATGTTTTGTTTCAAAATAATATATAGTACATCTATATATTTTTATCAGTTTTACTATATATTACATATACAAGTTATGTTAACTATTCCCACCATCAAGACAAAGATAAATTATACCATTCTTAAAAATATCTCATATTATCCTTTTGTACTTGTACATTTTCCTCATTCTTAAACCCAGGTAACCAACAATCTGCTGATCTACTGTCACTCTTGCTTTGTCTTTTTGAGAATGTCATACAAACAGAATCAAATATAGGCTAGTTTCATTCAAATTTATCACCATTTTTATAAGTGCCAATAGTTCAAACCTTTATGTTGCTGAATAATATTCCTTTGTAGGGATATGCCACAAATGTATGTATCCATTTACCGATTTGAAGGCTATTTGGCTTGTTTCCGTATTTTTGTGTTTATTGTCAAGTGCTACAAACATTTATGTACAGGTATTTCATTTCTGCAAAGTAAGTAAATACCCAACAATGTTCAACTTCTAAAGTTGTTTAATAAGTGTATGTTTAACTTTATGAGAAACTATCAAACTATTTTCCAGAATGGCAGCATCACTTTCAGTTTTCACCAGTGCTATACAAGAATGTCAATTGGTATGGTTGATATTAACCTTTATACTCATAATGTGGCACACTAAAAACTAAAAATTTTCACAGTAACCTCTGATATTATTCAATAAATGTTAGGAAGGTAAAATTTAGAAATTAACATAATAGTAATGAAAGAGAAAATATATTTTACAAACATACCTTTTCTTGCTGAAACCAAACCTGCCAATCCTGAAGCTGTAATCACTCCCATTTTGGGAAGAAAATCTTGAGGAGGATTCTTCAGATAGACATATGCATCTGAGGAAATCAATTAAGAATAAATATGACTGTTTACAATTGGGCATCCTATATAATTAAAATGCAAAAAATCTGGAGATTAGTATGTTAATGGCTGACAGTAAGAATAGTAAATAGTTTAAACATGCTTCAAAAGTTATACAAAGCAATGCTATGAACAGAAACCTAAAATTCTTACTATGATACTCACTACAAAATATGATCTATCTCCTACACTTGTTGTAATGCTTGCTTTTTTAATGATACAGATTATTATTATTACTCATTAATGAACTATGATGCTAGAAGGTATATCTATATGAATTACTATAAGACACACTCCTGTCTGTCTAGGTTTTATATTCCTATAGTGAACAGGTTTCTGCCATTATATATTTAAATGCCAGCAAGATACAGTAAGAAATAAAGATGTTTTACAAAGGAATTCTGCAATTAGACACTTTTTGTTACCATCTCCCATCACATCAGACTAGCAAGTACTCTCAAAACCAATGATATAGATGAGAAGTGAAACTAGACAAAAACATCAAACGTAATAAAAGGAAAGACGTCTTAGCCTTGTATACATTTAAACTGTTTTTAGGTCTAAAAGACTTTTCTGTCATAGCTATTTGATGACAGTCACAATGAAATTATGGTCCTCTAGTTCAATGAGGGATAGCTGGGTATATCAGTGCATACTTGTAACCCCAGCACGAGGGAGGCTAAGGGAGGATGATGATGACTTCCAGGCAAACCTGGACTACATAGTGATATCCTCTCAAAAAGCATTGATGATTAAATATAATGCTAATTCTTAATGCCCATTAAATAATATTTCAAAACAAATCAAATTTATGAAGGTACTTAAAAATTTAGCTGATTTTGTGTTCTGTCTCCTATACATGTTTATTTTGGCAACTGCTATAGACAAAGAATATTAGGAATCTATGTCTGCTACCAAATGCCATTTAGAAGCTAAAGAGTCAAATACAGGGGCTGAAGAGATGGCTCAATGATTAAGAGCATTGGCTGCTCTTGCAGAGGACCCTGGTTCAGTTCTCAGCATCCACATGGTGGCTAACAACTGTTCTAACTCCAGTTCCAGGGGAATCTGATGCCTTCTTCTGTCCTCCACGAGAACTGCACAACATGGGAGCACTTACATACAGGGAGGCAATATACTCATACATATAAAATAAAAATAAAATATGTTTTAGAAGAGTCAAATACAATTATTTTCCAACATTAGCTTAAACACTCCAAGACTAATTGTTATGTCATTTCCCAGCAGTTAATAGGAAAGCATAATGTATTTTAACAAATAAATAACAATTAAATTATTTAGCAAAAAAGGAAAAATATCTATACCCAGTGCTTTATAAATATACAATGTGTACTTTCAGTTTAAAAGTGGCCTGAGTAAGTGCCACTTACTAATCATGTGACCTAGGGAATCTAAATAAACTTTCTAAACCAATAGTTCCTCAGCTAAGGTTGGAGCCTCCCGCCCATTTCCCCAGTCCTATGCTGGACTTCTTTCTACTTGAGTTTTCATGAGTCTTCTTCATGTTGTCACCTTTGCTGTAAGTTCATATGAGCAAGTTCCCAAAAGTCTGGAAAATTGTTTCCTTGTGGTCATCCACCAACCCTGGCTCTTACGATCTTTCCATTCCCTCTTCTACAATGACCCGTGAGCCCCGGGTGGGTGCAGTTGATCACTGTTGGGTGAGGAAGAGTTGGTATTCTTTAAGGGAGTGATGTTAGTAGGTTGACTAGGCTCTGGTGGATGAACTCACACCAAGGGACATCTATGGACATAAACTTGGCTCTATAGACCTCTCCATACATGACAGAATGCATGAAATGCATTCTAAATGGTGGGAGGACTATGGGGGGGTACAGATAGGACAGGATGTCCAAATATGATTAAGGTGTATTGTATGAAATGCAGTAAAATTCAAAAAACAGTATATATTGAAAAAGAACTACAAAAAAACTTTCTAAACCTCAGCTTTCTCATTGGCAAGACAGATAACCTGCAATTATAATAACTCAGCACTGTATCAAATTAAATAAATTATGTACAATGTTTTACACAATGCCTTAGTATATAACAATAACAAAATAAATGGTAGCTACAACTGCCTTGTTTCTACTATCAATAAACTACAGGGTCCATCTTCTAAGTTAGTGTATGCATACTAATGGATAACATACTGTGTTTACTTTCATTATTTTTAAACACTACAACTTAACACGATAATAGAACGCTTCTAATTATGCATGGTTCACTCACCTACCTTTCCCAAATTGTACTGTATCCATTATCCCATTCTTCAGAAAGACATAAACACCCTAAGAAAAAAAAGGGGAAGCGAGCAAAAAAGACATCCATTTTTAAGTGGTTGATTGTGAGATACCAACATACAATAGCCTACAATTCTGAGATTCCATTTAGTTGTTGATTTAGCATTATACGCAAATGTAAGCCCAGCTTTTCTGTTTATTCACTATAAGGGTACTTGCTTAAAGTATCATCTTTTATTTCTTGCTTTTTATGCTATGTAAAACAATAATTCTTATTACTGTTTTCCTCATAGGAGTCAAGTGACCTTTAAAATAATCAGAGTGACTCACAGCAAAGACACTGAACACCTTATAAAGATTTATCATCTTATTTTATAATAACTCAGAAACATGAATGGAACTTAAATTAAGCATGAAAGGAGGTATATTTCAATATGTACAGCAAAATCATAATGATTTTTAGAGATAAAACAAAAAAGGAAAAACCTAAAGAAAAGAGCTCCATCTCTTCCCTTTGCCTTAGTACATAGAGTGAGAAAACAACAAAATAAGGTGTCTATTTTTAAATAGGAACCTAAATGCTCCATAAATCCAGATTATATTAACCTACTAAAGGGATTAAAGCTTTAAAGCAATGTTCTCCTGTTTACCAGTTTCTACATTACGTGAATGCTAAGACAGACTGTTATATTCACTGTGTGGTGGGTGTTTTCTTGCTAACATTAGAAGAAAAATGATGTTGCAAAGGGATTTATTCATAATCATGCTGTATTCCAGGCTGTATTCTACTGTACAAATCAGAAAACAGAATGCAAACATATGACCTCTTTATATGAAATAACTGCTATGAAACCACGGGATGAAAACAAGAACAACAGACATTTTCAATATGGAAAACAGAAACAATTCTATTAGATGGGAATGAAAATAAGTTACTGAGATTTCCTGGTCTAGTGACTTTTTCTCAGTTCAATAGTGAACAGAAATGGTCATCCTGGTTTAAAGTTATACACAGTAGTATAGATCCTAAGCTGCCAAAGAAACATTTCTCTTGAGGGACTGTCTTAAGAAAATGTCACCTGCAATATTAAAATATCATTTAACCATTACAGATGAAAACTAGTCTTTGGGAAAAACTCATCTGTGTTTAGGAATTCATTTTTACCACTGGGGGGCATTGCTACCTAAATTTCAAATCTAAAGGGTAGGCTAGGTGCAGGAACTAAATTTACAAGATCCTAGGTTTCATGTAGAATGTAATTTAAATTGGACATACATTTGTTTTGAGGACTACATTACATTTTAAGGAGAAAATTAGAGGGGGGAAGTTGTTTACATAGAAGATGCGGTACATCTGGAAGTGCCCTTCTTCAATTTATTTGTTTCAGCATACTAACAGAATAAAATGTTCTTTTAGTCTTAAATTGGGTAATAGTTACAGTAGCAATTTAAAAATCTCTCAGGAACAATTACCTCACTGAAGACACATCTGAGAACACTATGGGAAATTAGGTCCCCGGAGACTAAGTCTGAATCATCTAGCTATTGGCATACAGCCTGAGGGGCATGATTCAGACCATAATTAGTTAAGATATTTCAGAGATCAAACTATTAAGGGTGACTAGTACAACCAGTACCCTTAGAATTGGATGACAAGTACAGATTTTCAAAAATAACACTATGTATTCGTCAGATGTTTGTTAGAAATGCACAGAATGATCAGAGTTCACTGACTTGATATTTCACTTAAGGATGCTATTTTTACAAGCTCACTAGAATTTTCTTTATGATTATCATTGCGTGTGTGCATGACGTGCATGTGTATGCACGTCACAGTGTCTGTGGGGGGTTAGACTGAGGACCACTATGTAAAGCTGGCTCTTTCTTTCCTCCTTTACATGAGTCCTGTCTGGGGACCAACTCAGGTTGCTTACCAAGTGCCTTTACGTGCTAAGCCATCTTACTAATGTCAGAATTTTCCTTTTTAAAGCAATGGATTAGAACTATAAAATCAAAAGGGTTTAAAATCAGAATACATTTGATGAGAAATACTGTGTTTACTAAAGTGGAATAAGGACAAGCACTGCTGCCAATATTAAGATACAATGGAGATGCTGATGCTGCCACAACTATGTTTAAGTGATGCTGAGAATAAAACATCAGCATGGTAGCAGTTTCCTCTACCACTCTGCTACTAGATACTACTGACTGAAGGTTAAGCATTAAAGTCTGTTAGATCCCACTTGGCCCAATAACTGCTTCTAGTTAGGTTGGAATTATGAACCATCCCTAAGAAATGAATAATATTTTGCTTATGCAAATAAGAAATAATTAAAAAGTAATCTCAAAACTTTAAGTAGCAGGGCTGGAGATATGGCTCAGCAGGTCCTGCAGAGGACCCAGGTTTGATTCCCAGCACCCACATGGTAGCTAACAACCATCCATAAGTCTGGCTCCAGGGGATTCAATGTCCTCTTCTGACCTCCATGGGCATTGCACCACACAGGTGCATTTACACACATGCAAGCAATACACTCATACATGAAAAATAATAAATAAAATATTAAGGGCTGGAGAGATGGCTCAGAAGTTAAGAGCATTCACTGCTCTTGCAGAGGACTTAGGTTCAATTCCCAGCACCCACCTGCTGGCTAACAACCATCAATAACTCCAGTTCCAGTAGATCCATCACCTTCTTCTGACCTCTGTGGGCACTGCATGACACAGGTGCACATACACACATGAGGTAATACACTCATAAATGTAAAATAAAAATAATAAAGTATTTTTTAAAATAAAATATTTTTAAAAAACTTCAAGTAGAAAATGTTTTGTCCATACTAGGTGACATAAGTGCCTAATGAACTATTTTACTCAGCAGTGTTTGTAGTAGTTAGATTAAAGATGGCTACCAATTTATTCCTGCTTATCCTACCAACAGGTGGTACCCAGATTTTACATCAGAATATTGTAGAATTATCTCTCTTAGACATTTAAGGATAGCTAAGAAGCTTTGCAAATTCTGGCCAGCATTTGTTGGTTTTTTTTTTTTTTTGTAGTACTACATGTAAGTCATCTACCTGGAAATACTATGCTTGAGAGATCACTGGTAGATACTACAGTCAACAATCTCAGTTTAGCCCAGTCTTCCAGGATTCTTTGGCAAGGAGCTAAAGATGTAAAGGATGCTGTCTTGGCCTGTTTAGACCAGTCTGTTTGCCAGATGAATATCACTGAGTGGCCTCAGGCAATACTATATGGAACAGAAGAATCACCTGTCTGAACTCAAATTCCTAATCCACAAAATAATGGGTCATTATATAATGTGTGCTACTGTAAGCCACTAAGTTTTGAGATAGTTTACTCTATTTTTAAAAAAATCAATAGGTAACTGGAACAAATAATCAAAAACCACTGATATTTTAACCACTGTCAAAACAGACTTACCTTGCACCAGCCAATATAACGGACAGTTGTAGTACGGATGGATGCAAAACTCATTTGTAAATAACCAGGCCGTTCTTCAACATACTTAGAATGGAGAGGTGGTGCAGTATATATTGGGAGCTAGATGTAGAAGAAAAGTTCTTGTCAGAAACAAATAGCTGGGCTGCTTTTTCTAGTACTATAGAAAACAGGATCCTCATCAACCTTCCTCTTAAAAACAGCTAAAATAGTCAAGGGTCTAAACTATAGATGTGATAT